GCTGACGTGTCTTCTACTACTTGTAAAGAATTTCACAGGAGATTAATGTATCCACAAATTCATGTGGAAAAAATCCAATTAAAACTGAGGGCAATCCTTTTTACATATTGAAGTGTTTAATTCTGATATTTTTAATGGTGAATGTAACTTTGGAAATGCAAGTCTTTGAGGGGGGACATGCAACTCTTTTTCTTTTCACTGTTTTTCTTTCAGAGTGGACTTTGCTGTGGTTTAAAAAAAGTGATCTCAATTTCAATAGGCTTTTATCACTACATAGCAAAATAAACATTCCCATCAAGTGTAGTACTTGGGTTAACCCAAAATGCTCTCCTTTGCTTTTTCAGTCTTGATAAGATACCTGGAAGATTTCTGTCTTTTCCTGACCTGGACTTACGCTCTGTAACTTTTTGATGTGTTTAATGAATCAAAAAAGAAACATAATTCCATATTCTGTCTTGCTGATTTTAAGCATGATATTTTACTTAAGTGTGAAGATCTGTTTCAGACTAAGGTATTTATTTGCATTTAACGTCCTAGCTATCATCTGTAACAGCACGAGATTAATATACAGCATATGGCTGCACCAAGCAGTGCCTTAAGTGCAGCAGGTCCTGTTAAAAGTTGGTGTAAGGACTCTGCTGGTGGGTTTATGTGGCCAAGCTCAAATTTGCAATGAGGACAGAGGTGTTGCCCAAGCAGAACCCATAAGGAAGCTGTATGCACACTAGGACAGATAAAGGTTATGGGCAAATAGGCTTTTCAAGCGCAAAATAATTGGGTTTGATAAGCAGAAAGTGAATCTTTACCACATCCCAATATACAGAGAGAGCAGGTAGTGCAGAAGCAAAGCGGATCCAGTTTTAACAATCTGCTTATTGCTGGGCATGATTGAGTAGCTATTACATTACAGCACGTGTCAGAGCGCAGAGTGGCCCTGCAGACACTGCCTCTCCACAGGGAAGGTAGAGAAGGGACTTCAGGGACTGTACTGCCAACAGTGACACAGGGCACCCTGAGTACAGAGCAGGACAGGAGGAGCAGATTCACACAGCCAGGCAGTGATTTGCAAAACAGAGGCCCAGGGGTCAGAAGAGCTCAGGAGACTGCTGAAGCCTCACGTTTCGGGGGGCGGGGGTGTCCTTCTGAGTGCTGCTTATTTTTGTGTGTGAGACTGGGAAAGGACTCTCCTCCTACCCAAAGTGGACGTTGAACTCTTCCATGGACATTGTCTGGGTTTGCTGTTAGAGACAGAAATGCTTTCAGCTTAAAAAGCCATATAGCCTTTCTTTAAATATGTGCCTGCCCTTCTGAGGGTCCAGCCCTTCTTCCATTCAGACTGCTTGCTCTTTTAGGACATTATGAATCAGCTCAACACTGAAATACATTGGAGACAATATGAATCAAGAGTAAACATAAGACAAAAGGGGATATAATCAAGTACATTTTGGACATAAAGCCACAGACATAAGGAGCTGAGTACATAGAGGAGATTCTTCAGAAAAAAGCCTTCAAGCTACATAAAAAAAAACCAACAGTTGTCACTGTAAGCACATACTTGTGTGCAACTTGTATGAACAGAGAACAAGAGTTTGGGTCTTTGAGCAGAAAAACCAAGCGTGAGACCATGCAACTATCTGTCAACTGCATGAGCAGCCCTGAGGAATGTTTGAGTATGACAAACATTAATATTTCTCCAAAACACATTGAAATTCTCTTAAACATGGTGTCTCAGTTACAGGATGTAATTCTGTGCCATGAGCACTCTCTCTGTAACCACCGACCCTGTGCCTGCACATACCTAGATATGAAGCTCCCCAGCCTTTGGTCCACCCTGGCCCACAATCAGGGCTTACCTAGTTCATCTCAGCTGTATCTGGACACTATTTCCTTTCCTGGGAGGTTTGCCTCCTGGGTGAGTACAAAATACAGAATCATAGAATCACAGAATCTTCTAGGTTGGAAGGGACCTTAAAGATCATCTTGTCCAACCGTCAACCTAACTGACAAAAATGACAAATACATCTGGACTGTGGAGCAGCCATGGTGCTTGATGAGCCAGCAGTCCTGGACCTCTGGTAAATCAGGTGCAAGGCCAAGATGGAGCACAGCCCAGCTCCCTTTGGGCTCTCACTCTCCATGGAGATCAAGCTGCAGTGAGGGTTAATGCCTGGGCAAGTTTCACCCCAGCACAGAAGTAGGACATGGGCAGGATGTGAACCTGGGAGTGAGGACCTGCTCCTGCATCGCAGGCAGAGACACAAGAGTGACTGAACAATCCTCCCAGAGTAACAGAAATTTTTTCTCCATCTCTTAAACCAAGGAGAGGATGGACCTCCCCAGGTCTACGCAGACATCTTTAGCAGCCAGGTTGACTTCCTGTAATGGCACCACGAGATCTCTCCTTTCTTTAAGTATCACCTCAGTTCTCTGTGTCTGTCTGGATCTTGTTCCATGCATTTTCACGACTTTCCTACTTACTGGTCTCTTAAGCCTCCTTCTCCTCCTCCCTTCGTGTCCCAGAGTAGTTTTGCAGATTTTCTAGAGACGAGGCAAAATCCTCAAAGCCAGTGCTGGAGGCACTGTCCTTTAATAACTCCCAAGAGTGAGAAGGGTTGAGCTATGCTTTCCGCCTGCATTCCCACGCATGGGTCCCCAGAGAGACCTCAGCAGCTTGGGCAGCCCCCAGCCTCAGTAAGGATCAGAGGGGTTCCAAATGTGGCCATCAGCATCAGCGACCACACAAGATCTGTCCCTCCATGGGGGTCGACAGCTACAGCGCCAGGTTCGCTCCAGGGAACAGACTGATCATATTTTTTGGCTTTCGTGTTTTCCTTTTTCCTACTTCATGTGGTTGTGTGAAGCAATAACAGCCAGAGCAGCCATCCCCACATCTCCTCCCTGTGCTGCCCCTCTGAGACAAACCCACTGTGTTTCCCCAGGCCAGCGCTGAGCCGGCAACAGAAATCCTGGGGACAAGGCAAGAGTTCTCCTTGCCCAGAGGAGACCACCAGCAGAGAGGCTGAACTAACTCCTGTAGCTAGCCTGCATCTCACAGTTTATTTTATTAATCAAGGAAGGGGTATACAAGAGGAAAAAGTCCTCTCAAGGTCTTCCTTCTGGTCCCCACTCTTCACCTGCATCTCACCATCTTCCCTGCCTCTGCGCAGATGCCAGAGCACAAAGCCTGTATCTCTGAGGCACCATGGTTATGGCCCAGGTGGGAAAGGGTGGAGGTACCTCAGCTGTGCATGCAGATGAGTCTTACACAGCTATACATGGCACGAGGTCCTTTGTACTGAGTTAGAACAGCCCAAGGGCTGCTCTGGTTCACACACCTCAACGCTCATTGATTGACTAATGACAGCCCTGAGGAGCTGAAGCTGCAGGTCAGGCTTCTACCATCAAATCTCCTTCTTCCAGTTACCCATCCATTTCCCTACTGCATTGCCAAGAGGACACAAATCTGATTTAAGAGCAGCTACATCAGGTCTCGGTGCTGGGGAAGACTGCAAATTTGCACAAAAAAGAATTGGTTTTGTTGGGATGGGAAACCAGCCAGCCACCACTGCAGTCTTCTTTAGCTGAGCCCCATCCCCTCAGTTGCCATCAGGGACACTGGAGAAAATCAGGGCGGTCTAGTTCAGGTACCTGCTTTGGGGCAAGAAGAGTCACATCCAAGAAGTGGCTACTTTTCTCTTTCCTAAACTAGCTCCCCTGCAGATTTTCCTCTAGAGCCGACAGCAATTTGGTTAGTAGACAGCAATGTGTTTAACTAGAGAATGTCAACAGCCTCTTTAATTCACTTACAGACTTGCACACCACCGACAGGCAGACATTTTGTAGGACTGTATTACAGTGGACAATTCACAGATTTAGTCTAGCTCTGCTGTCATTGGCATGATTTTCCCTTCATCTTAATGAATCAAATATGTCCTATAACTCATAATTATCTTTCATTTGTATTAATACCACACAAACCTTTCATTTCCTAGTCATTTCAGTTTACAAATGGAAAGTATGCAGGCCACAACTTTTTACAGTGTCTATAGAAAGAGCTGCTTTCAGGCACAACTATTACATGATGATGTCCTTAAAAAAAAAAAAGTCACAAAACCAATATAACAGTGTATTTGCTTGGGAGACAGAGTACACAGCTGTGTGTGTTGCGACACAACCATCCTGAATTGCAAGGATTTCGTGCTTTTTAAACAGCATCCATGACATCTGGGAAACATTTCTGAAAGAATAAATGGGCACACAATGTCCTGAAAGGTAAATGGCTCCCTATTTCCCCAAAAGCTTTCCAAATCAGTCAGTACGAGTTGCTCTGGTGTAAATAAAGCACTGTGATTTTGATGCTGCATTGTAGGTACCCTCTATCCCCTCTGTAGAAGTACCACTGGTGGGAGATGGTGGGCTTATTTATATCAGATTTTCTGAGGTTGACAAGGACCAAGAGGACAGTAGCTGTCCCCAGTAGAAATACTTCATGAAGCATGTGCATTATGAGTCACATGGCTTACATGTAGGTTAGATTTGCCTATCACATATGCATACACATACTCAGATGGCAATGTCAGGTTATGGCCCAATTCACTTCTGCCTCTTAATCAAGCAGTTACATTCTATACATATACACATATGCATACACATACTCAGATGGCAATGTCAGGTTATGGCCCAATTCACTTCTGCCTCTTAATCAAGCAGTTACAGTGGAATATTTCCTTCTTACATGGAAAAAATGCATTTTTTTTGTTCACACTCATATCAGTTAGAAGTAGAGGTTTTAATTTAAAAGTTTGAAATCAAATTTTAACTTAAAAAGGCTGCTTCTGTTTCAAGACTTTAAGGGATTTTAACCCATGAAAAAAAATGCATGCTGCTTTTCCCCATTATGGCAACAGAATCACAAACATGACCACAAATGCTCTAAGCAAATGTTGCTGTAATGCAAAAGCGTAAAGAACTGGTCAGGTCTCCTGAAGGAAAATATTTACCTCAAATGTGCGCAGAACTTTAGCCAATGCCCCAACTTCTTCTTTCAGGGAGAAAATCAAAGAAATCACACCGCTTTTATTTGAGGACTCTTCAATATACATAGATTCCTGAAAGAAAAGAAAATAAACAAACAAAAAAATATTTACATTCACCCTAGGAATCAGTTTTGCTTTGTTCTGTTTCCCTTTTGCACAGCATCAGCAAGGTAAAAAGAGTATAAAACTGCTTGAAGTGGGAATCAAGGCAGCTGCTGATGCCAGAGGTGCCATCTCTGGCTCTGCTCCGATTTATGATGGTTGAGACACAAAATCCCTTCTCTCAAACTAGGGCCCATATGGGAGCCAGGTAGTCAAAAAGGACATGAAAATAGTCTAGTATCATCTCTGTCTTGCTTCACCTTTCAAATGTATCAGGCTCAGGGATGATTGGGAACATTACTGCACTTTGGTTTCAGCTACAGTGCAAAGACCTTCCCTCAGGCTTTCTTTTCATTAACACTCAGGATTAATCAGAGCAAGGTAGATGAGCTCTGTGCAGGGATGCAGGCCACGATTTGTGTTTCCCTTCAGTTCTGCTAGTTCCAGGTAGTCCGAGGAGAGGTAATATTCACAAGAGGGATATGGAAAGTCATTTAAAAACAAAATAAAAATAACAACAACAAACAAAAAAAAAAAAAAAAAAAAAAAGAGGGAAAATGTTGGAGCAAGCATTTGGACCTTCATCAACATCCCTAAATCCCACAGTGAGTAAAGACTCAGGGCAAAATGTGTTTTCATTTATGCTTACTCCCTTTCTCTTATTAATTTTCTGCTCTGCAAATTCCAAAAGGGTATTTCCAGTATTCCCAAGCAAGGAGAATATTTATTTTAATTATTTTCATGGTTTTTATTAACAGAATGTTTTAGTATGTCTCAGTGCATGTGCTTCTTTTCACAAAACCCGTGTTAAGTAGGCAAGCGCTATTTCACCACTTCATAAACAGGAAACTGAGTCCTGGAGTGGGGCCAGATTTTCAAAATTATTCAGGTACCTGACATGGCAGGTAAGTGCCTGCTGAGATTTCCAGAATAGCTTAATTTTTCTGATGTCAGAGTAAATTTGATGCACAAACATCACAGACTTTTGGAAGTCACATTAATGCCTTATTTGTTGGTTTTTGGTTTTTTTTTAACATCTCCTGGCCTTGGGCAAATTGCCCCTGGTTGGTATTTCAAAGATCACGCCAGACATTTGCAACACAGATGGGTACTGATGTAACAAGTCCTGGGCCAAAGCTTGACTTAAGGTATTTTCAGTCAGAGCCTGCCCTCATTACAGCTGTTGCTTAATTTAACATATAAATCAGAGTATAAAGAGCCCCAGTTCCCAAATATTGTCCTCAGAAAAGACAGTCTTTGTAGCAGGCAAATTAACAACCCAATCCAGCTGTCCTGAAGCCGTAAAGTTCTTGGTAGGACTACATTTTCTGAGGCAGTGTTACAAGGAATGGCGTTCTTTTGTAAAGTAAATAATTGCTGATTCTTCAGGCTGTCTCTGAGGCTGCTGCTAACCTGAGAATTCATTACCAAAGGCTGGCAACAGATTTTTCTATCTGGCCTTATTTCCAGAGGTTGCAAAGGTTATCCAGATACCTTTTCTACCTTTATGGGGAACCTCTAGTGGGAAGTGTAGTAGAAATACTGCACATCCAGCCAAGGAGCTGACCCAGCTCTTACATGGTGGAGACTAAGAGGAAAAGTAGTCAGGAGCGATGTGGCAGCTGGCTAATGAAACCCATTTACACATCAGGCAACCACAAGAGAAAATCACAACAGGAATCATTCAGAAGGCAAACAAGATGTCAGTAGTCCAGAAATTTTATGATAGTCTGACCAAAACTGTGATCCGAAATACTGTCCAGGCACTGCTTTTCCCTTCTGTTTTCCACCACCACAACCAAAACTGATCATAAGGACAGAACTGTGCTACACCAGTGTCTGCCTGATGGACGAAGAATTTGATTTTCATGGTCTGCACTGGAACTGTTTTAAAAGCTATGTCATTATGTATTTAAAATACCCTTGACAAGGCATGCTGTAAGGACCAACTTCTATGGCAGGTTGACTTGAATCTGTGTGACAAAGGAAGAATTTGTCATTTGGACACATGCAGGGGATATAATGCAAGGTTCAAGTCCCGCAAGGTAATTCTGATGTTAATTGATCTCTTTATACCATTAGATTACCCAAAAAGGCCTTAGAAACCTTCTGTACAACATAGATTCTCATTGGTCACTAGCCTTGATGTGTTGAGATCAGCCACTTTCAATCTGTCCTCACTAATTTTCCCACTCTTGTAAATTGATTTATGTTGGTGTTTAAAAGTTAGACACACTGCAGTAGGGAGTCGGCACCAGTTCTGCAAACAGAGTGATACTTGCTTAATTTCTTGCACATCCACATATGCAGTCAGTTCACTGGAAGAACTTTGTACAGATGTTAGCTCATGCCTGAGTCTGTCCACACAGAAGACAGCTTTCATTGCAAGAAAAAGATGACTGTTTTTCTGGTACCCAGTTCTTATCAATATACATGGAGGCAATATACATCAATGTATACTGCAGACAATATACATCAACATATACACTGGAGGTAACATACGTGAATATATGTAATATGCATACACACAGGCACCCACATTTATTGCTGAGCTTTTTGTAGTACCTATACATAGTTTAACTGTTGATCACAGTTTCTCCATTGTCAATTCTAATTTCTTGTTTTTCAACATATAGAGAAGAATATGCAGCTTTGGGGTAGTTCTACTGTTTTCTTACTACTGTGATTATAAACACATTGTTTCACTGTCATTGAAATATGTATATGTGATTTATAAATGTAGTGTGGAATAAACTAAGCTCTAATTTTCTTCCAGCTCCTTTTTTTTCAGGAAGTAAAATAAGAACCAGTTGATGAACATGAACATCCATGCCCCTACACAGTGCAATCTCAAAGATAGGTGTTGTCTAGATGCAAGGATGGGTTTACCTGAGCACAATGCAAATCTGCATTTTCAGTCAACCACTTCACACATTGATACTGCCTTTCTGACACATGCAACAGTTTTGGAGGTCAATAATACACACTTCAGCCTTCTAAGCTGCTTCTGAGCTGGATAGATAAAGCCCTTCAGAATGAATTCCAGCACTGTTTATGTCAAAAGAAGTTTTCCTTGCAGTTTCACTGAGAGGAAAGTTTCACCTCTGTGTCATAGATTCCAGACTTACTAGATATATAAAATAGTAGGGGGAAAAAAAAGGGGAGGAAATAATATTTCAAAGGAAAAAAGATTCCTAAGTTACTTCTGAAAATGGAACTAATCTCCAAGTCAGATTTCTTAAGCCATTTAGATGCTCCCATAGGTGTCATGGGACCAAACAATTATACAGCTTGGAAAAGCAGCAAGGTGAGACCCTAGAGAATTGTTGGGGGAGCTCAGCCTCAGCACATGAAGATGTAGGAAACTGAGCTTCCTTAGCTGTTCCTCTCTTAGGAAGGTTTGTAGAAACTAAAGCCCTTTTTTGCACACCTGCAGCTTGTCTCTGGCTTCAGCAGCATTGCACAGGGCACATACATGCAGAATTTAGTCCTAATAATTAACCATGCTGACCTCAGTTTACGTCACTTGCCCCTGCAGTAACTATAGTGCCTGCAACTGAAAGGTGTGGGCTTCAGGACTTTTCTGTATTTCCCAAAGCAAAGGGTTCAAAGTAAGTCAGTAAACTTTAAAAAAAGGGGATGTCAGAGTCCCAAAATTTAACATGTCTCTGTCAGAAAAGCATGCTTCAGCTGCTTTCCTTTAACAGAAGATGGCTTGCTTTCATCACACAGGTTTAAGACCTCTAGTTAGCTGCTGGTCTTTTCTGCTACTTCTTGTCTTTGCCCTATATGCAAGAATGCTGTTGCAGTGTTCATTTCCATTCCCGCTGCACTTTTGCAAGCACAATTAACAACAGACAAGCATGCCAGCTGCCAGGAGGAAGAACGGTGGCACCCAGGCACTGCAAAGCATCGAGACAGGCACGTTGTTTTCTCCTGAGCACCACTACCCCTCAGAGAGCAGGGGACAAGATTTGCAAGCGTGGCAGGGAGTGGGAAAGGGCAGGAGAGGGGCAGATACAGCCCCCCCCTACAAAAAGCAGGCACGCAGACCCCACTGCTTACCTGGAAAGGGTCACCATTCATTTTGCAGTGCTGCGCATCCATGTTGCGGAGGCAGCAATGCCCACACCGGGAGACCCCTTTGCTGCTGCAGGTGAAGCCTTCTGACCTTAAAACAGTGGCCAGAACTCCGTGCAAAGGTATTTAAAGTGGAGCAAGCAAGGCAAAGCCATCCCCTTCCGCCCCCCCCCCTTACCCAGCTCCCTCCCCCCGGACACGGTGCCAAGGGGGCGTTCTCCCTACACGCCCCCCCCCCCCCCCCCCCCGTACATGGGCCCCCCCCCCCCCCCCCGCCCGCCCCCCCCCAGCCTCTGCCAAGCCACAGCCTCGGGCCTTTGGACCCCCACCCCTGGCACATGGACCAGCCTCTCCACGCTGCCCGGCCCCCCAGAGTCCCATCCCGGCGCTCAACAACTCTCCACCACTAGTTTTTCTATCTGCATGCAACGTGGAGGGACGAGACGCTTTAAATTAACAGCCTTCCTCCTCCTCATCAGCATCAGCTGCTGTCCTCTTTTTGCATGTCAACATGCCGGCTTTGGTTCAACCTTCTCCCCATCCCTTCCCACCGCTGCCTGCATGTTCAGCCCCAGGTGGGTTTCCCACTGGAGCTCGCTCCACGTGACCAGAGATCAGATGTTCTCCAGGATCTGCTCTTTAGATGGCAAACACCAGCCAGGGAGGGCTGTGGCAATGCACAGCAGCTGAGGGATTGGTCCTTTAGTAGGGCTGCATCCAAGAGGTCAGAGAGCAGGAGACATCGCTCCACACACCAAACACTGGGGAGAGGGAGACCTGTTGTAAAGGAAGCGTGAGACAGGAGTTAGCTGCATGGACATCACGCTGGGACATGGGTCTGGACATGGAGAAAGGGAAGAAGGTTAAGAAAGAAAAGGAGCAGGGAAGAGTTATAACCAGGGGCAGGAGGATGCAGAAGAACTGCAGAAGATGTACATGTGCTTGTATATAGTGTCAGCTGTGGATACTAACAATGGGAACAGGGTGGGGAGTGTAAATTATTTTGGGAAAGTTTGGTAAAGGGTTGGTATAAAAGAGCCCAGATTTGGTTTAGAAAGAGTTATCAAAGGGGTGGAAGGAATAATGGAAAGCTGCAGCCCAATACCAGAGGGCAGGTGAAAAAACACAACAACAACAACAAAAAAAAAACAACCACCACAAAAAACCAAACCAAAACACCACCCCCCCCAAAAAAAACCCACAAAACCAGCTGGTCAAGTATCTATCTTGCTATTTGGAAAGATGAAGTCTGTACTGAGACAAACTCTGCCAGGATGGGTGATCTTGCTATATTTTTGTGATGAAGATAAATTCTGTGGAATAGAGAAATAATCTTACAATTATTTTAGCCTTGGGGGAATCTCTACTGTCTGCACTAGTGCAAACTCAGATGGGTCAATACTAACGCACACCTACCATGAATTATTGGTACTTACAAAATCCAATAGCTGCTAAATCCTATCAGCCTCACAGCAGGGAAACTGAGCAGAGCTGCTTACAGGGATGTCGGTACAAACCCATTTGAAACCCATGACTGTGGAGTCAGAATCCAGCCCACTGAAATTGTTGGCTGCATAATGTGCATCTGAAGTAATTCAGTGCTTTTGGGTGTGAATACCTACCTTTTCCAGAAGAGCTGCTTGTTTGAGCATCCTGCAGCCGCACGCAGGGGTAGAAAGTTACTTTCTGAAGTGACCAGCACGCCTGTGGTATGGGCTGGCAGGTCCAGGGAGGCACCCAAATGCAATGCACACATAGCACACGGGGTCCTGCTGACATCGTGGCAGCATCCTGGGGCAAGGAGAGAGGGGAGGTTAACCTTGGTAATTGCCAGCAGTTTAAAAACTGCTATTTTTGAACTGCTCAGCCAATAATTTCACTACAGGAGGCAGTATTTTATGTCCTGTGTTTGTGCAGCACCAGGCACAGTCCTATCCGTGATAGGGACATTGAAGGCCACCTTTCAAAAAAACCCAAAGAAACAGTGAGATGAGGATGGTGACAACACTGATTATAGTACTCCCTGTGCAGGACAAGACAGCCTCCAGGAACTGGTCTTGTTTACTTTCCCCACACACCATGCCTCACTACCTGGTATATTGTTCAACTAGATTTTAAAAGGCTTAAATGAATGTCCTAAGGCTGGCCAAAAAAACTGTGGCATCCAAAGTAATAAACTACTTTTTTCTGTCATTTGTTTGCACCTTCCTTTTTCTTTCTTTTTTTCTTTCTCTTTTCATTAGCCTTTGATCAATCTTTTTACCTTCTCTGTGGCTCTTACTTTCATTTAGTCTTTTTTTTTTTCCCTTTCTTCCATCCTGTTTCTTATGTATTACAGCCTCTGTTCACTCTGACAGTAATGGCAAAGCAAAGTGAAATACTGGGTATGCAAAACAGTGCTCGTTCCAAATCCTCATAGTTATCTATTTTGCCTCCTCCTCCTCCCTGCTTTTTTCTGTTCATGTTACACTTACTGCTACCTAATCATAATAATATCACCAGTGTATTGCCACCAGGTCACTGTTTAATCAGCCCGGGCTGCCAGAGGTTGCCTAGTAGCAAAAAGCACCGGCTGGGGTAAGCAAAGCTCCTTCTTTCCAGGAGGAATTCTCAAATTCTCTAGTTCTGGAGCAAAGCTCTGTGTGTGTGTTTGTGTTTGTGTGCGTGTCCAGTGCCATGACAGTATGAACACACAATTGCATCAGTGCTGGTTACTTTGGACCATTTCAGAGTCCAAACTGTCTGAGCTTCCCCGTCCTCTTTGAAGTACCAGTTCAGCACACAGGTTCATGCCCCTGCAGTGACATTGCTAACTGGGGTTCCCTACTTGGGTTTCGAGATGCCCCGTGTGTCTGAGTCCCCATACTCTGGGCGAGCACCTCATTTTTGGGTCCACTAGTCCTGCTCTGGGCTCTTGCCGCAGCACTGTGTAACCCAGCTCCTTTCAACCATCTGCAGGTCTGCACTGATGTCCCACATCTCCTCCACCTAAAAACACCTTTTTGCCCTTGGAAATACATGCCTTCTTGGGGCACACACACACACACACAGACACCATACACATCCATTCCTGGCTGTGCTGCTCACACACAACTAAGAGGGCTCTTTGCACAGAAAGCTGGCTGGTTCCCCTGGCCGGCATGATGCAAGTTCAAAGGGCCATGGACTTTGGCTGCTTTTCAGGCTGCTCTTTCCCGCCTCTGCCTTTAGCCAGCATTTGCAGAGCAGCGGCTTCCCCGGAGCTGTGTGTTTTCTGCTGTGGGCAGGGATGTCCCTTGCCATGCACGGACACTGGGACTATGACCTGCGGCTCCCTGCCTGCCCTGCCACGTCAGGATGTCCCACTCCATCTGAGGGAGCAATAAGCAACCGAGAGAAGCTTTTCTACTAAAACCAGAAGCTCCTAAAAAATCCCCAAGTGAGGATTCAGTGAGTATCTCAAGGGATGTGTGTGAGATGACAGGGAGCTGGGAGGGTCCTCCCTTTATCAATATTGTGTATGCATTTGCCAGAGGTCTCTGGGTGCCGCAGCTCTCCCTTCAGTGCCGTAAGTCTTACGAGGAGAGGCTGAGGGAGCTGGGGTTGTTCAGCCTGGGGAAGAGGAGACTGAGGGGAGGCCTTATCGCTCTCTACAACTACCTGAAAGGAGGGTGTAGAGAGGCGGGGGTCGGTCTCTTCTCCCTAGTCACAGATGATAGGACAAGGGGTAATGGGTTCAAGTTGCGCCAGGGTAGGTTCAGACTGGACATTAGGAAACAATTCTTCACAGAGAGAGTGGTCGGGCATTGGAATAGGCTGCCCAGGGAGGTGGTTGAGTCACCATCCCTGGCTGTGTTTAAGAACCGTTTAGATGTGGTGTTGGGGGATATGGTGTAGGGGAGAACTTTAGAGTAGGGTAGATGGTTGGACTCGATGATCCCGAGGGTCTCTTCCAGCCTAGATGATTCTGTGATTCTGTGATTTCCTCACGCCCCGGTCCACACCGCGGTTGCAGAACCTCCCAGCCGCATCCCCCAGCCTCGCAGAGCCGAGGGTCCCCGACCTAGGATCATAGAAGCATCTCCTCCCACAGGTGGTCACCTCCCACAGATGACCATCACAGAATCAATCCCCTCCTTCTCCACATCCCCCAGACGCGTTCTCCCCTCTTCCCTCCGCAGCGCGGCGTGGCCGGCAGGTGGCGCTGTGTCCTCACGGCAGCGCCCGCCCAACCGGGACCGGCGCTGGGGGGGGGGGGGGGACGGACGGACACACGGACACCGGGCTGTCCCCGCCGCTTGCCCCCGGCGGAGGGGGAGAAGGACGGGGATGGTGGGGGGGAAGCTGTCCACCCCCACCCCTCCTGGCCGGGGACAGCCACCGCGGAGGCGCCGGGAAAACCACCCCC